GGCCGGGCGGTGGTGGCGCACGCCTTTAATCCCAGCACTCGGGAGGCAGAGCCAGGCGGATCTCTGTGAGTTCGAGGCCAGCCTGGTCTCCAAAGCGAGTTCCAGGAAAGGCGCAAAGCTACACAGAGAAACCCTGTCTCGAAAACCCAAAAAAAAAAAAAAAAAAAAAAAAAAAAAAAAAAAAAAAAAAAGAAAAGAAAAGAAAAGAAAATACCCTACAGGTTTGCCTACAGCCCAATCTTACAGAGGCGTTTTCTCAGTTGAGGCTCCCTCCTCTGATGACTCTAGCTTGACATAAAACTAGTCAGCTCAGGGGTCAAGCATGGAGCTCAGTTGGTAGAGTGCATGCACACTCTAGCACTCACGAAACACTGGGTTCAGTCTCCAGCAACACATACGCTGGGCATGTTTGTGGGTGCCTGTGGTCCCAGTGCTTGGAAAGTGGAGGCAAGTTTAAGGTCATTCTCTGCTACATATGCCTATTTGAGGACAGTGTAGGCTACAATAAATAAATAATAAGTTATTTATATATAATATAATTATATATATAATTATATATAAATATAATATAATTATAATAAATATATAAATAATATAATAAATTATTTATAATATATAAATAAGTTATATATATTATATATTATATAACTTATTTATTATTTATTGTAGCTTACAATAAATAATAAATAAGTTGGCTCAGCAGGTAAAGCTGCTTGCCTCTCAAGTCCGACAACCCGAGTTCAATCCCAGGAACCTAAAGATGGAAGGAGTACCATTCTACAAAGTTGTCTTCTGACCTCACACTCAAACCATGACATGTGCACCCACATACACACTGGAAAAAAAAGGAAAGAACATGGCTGCTCCTTGTTTGGTGGAGGAGAAAGTTTGTTGTAGATAACAGGGAGAACCAGAGGCAAAGACTTCTGGGAGAGTCCAAAGTGAACATGGAGAGACTGAGCTGGGTCATGTGAAGGGAGAGGAGGAGGAAGAGCAAGAAAGGAGGCACCACCCAAGAGGGGTGGCCTGTGCTAAGAGACTGGCATAGCCAAGATGGCTGAGTTATGTAAGAGCCAGCAGAACTGGGGGGAGGGAAGCCCAGACCAATACCAACTGAGCTATATCCCCAACCCCTGTGTTGGCTAATTTTATGTCAAGCTAGAGCTATCAGAGGAGGGATATGAGAAAGTGCCTCCGTAAGATTGGGCTGTAGGCAAGCCTTTAGGACATTTTCTTAATTAGTGATTAATGTGGGAATGCCTTGCCCATTGTGGGTGATGTCACCCCTGGGCTGGTGGTCCTGAGTGCTAAAAGCTGAGTGTGGTGTCACACCTGTAATCCCAGCGATGAGAAGATGGAAACAGGAGGGACCCTAGGACTTCCTGGCCAGTTGACCTAGCCAATCAGTGGACTTCAGGCTCAGTGAGAGACTCAGCCTCAAAAAAAATAAGGTGGGGGCTGGAGAAATGGCTCAGAGGTAAGAGCACTTGTTATTCTTGCACAGGTACACACACACACACACACACGTGTTTCCAATACCTGCATGGTAGTTCACATGCATGCACAATTCTAGTTCCAGGATGAACAAGATACACAGTCATACATGGAACAAAACATTCATACACATAAAATAAAATAAATACATCTAAAGAAAATAAGGTGGAGCACTCAGGAGGCAGAGGCAGGGGGATCACTGTGAGTCTGGGTCTATGTTGCCAGCTCTAGGCCAGCCAGGGCTACCTGGTGAGACATGTTTTGTTTTGTTTTTAAAGTGGAGAAGCAATTGAGGAAGATGAGGAAGACGTCTGAAGTCGCCTCTGGCCTCCATGTGCGTGTTTACCCACACCTGGGTACACACAGACACACAAAGAAATAGAAAGACATACAGGGGTGGGTGGGCTCTGCAGCAAGTGACACTTCTCTTTACTCTGGAAATCCCAAACCAAAACAAGAAGAGAAAGGAGGTGGGGATGTGCCCACGCCGCTGGGTTTCACGCTGGAGGAGGGTCTTGAGGAGAACAGGCAGGCTGGGAGGACAGATGGCATCAGATCCCAGCGGGTGCTGTTCCCAGGGAGGTAAACTCAGACAGCGGGATCCTGTTTCCCAGCAGCAGGAGGGACCCAAGAAGCTGCTCCCTTCTGATCCAAGACTCAATATTCCAGGGCTTCTCTGTCAGCAGGGAACAGTAGGCCAATAACCCCGGGGGGTCAGGGCCACAGGCCAGGCAGGAACAAACCATGGCCTGGCCTGCAGGCACCTCCAGCTTTGCTCATAATCAGCTCTAAGGCATTAGACAAGTTGCTTCTGTGTCTTGGACTGATTCATCCTCTGTATGATGGGGCCAGACCAGAACAGGACCCTGCTGGCTCTACAACAGTCCCTCCCAGCCTGACAGGGAGTGGCACCCATTAATAGGAGCCAGTAGAAAGCAGACAGGAGGGAGGAAACCTCTGTAGTTCCCTTCAACACTGACAAAAACCAGAGTGTTTCTCTCTGGCTCCTGCCCTCAGGCCCCTACTAACCACAGTGGAAACCTGTGAGTTCATTTCCCTTCCCTCCTAGACGGCAAGGGTGGGTTGCTGGGGGAAATCCAGCTGAAGGTTACCACAGAGGACTAGGACTGAAGACACAAGACCAGACAAACCAAATTTTATTCCAGAAAGCATCCTGGGGTAACCATGACTACACTACTGAGTAAGGCACATGGCCCCTCCCTCTGGCCACCCTCCCTTTACCAAAACCCACCCCTGCTTGGCCTTTGTACACACTCTTGAAATTGTCTCCTGGGCCCACAAGAGGCCCCAGACTTTTGGTTGGGAGGTGTCTGGGTGGTCTTGGCCTAGCCCCAGTCCTGGTGTCAGAGAAGTAAGCCGTGGAGACTACCACCAGTATCCAAGTGCTCTGGGCCATATCAGGTGACAATTCTGTGGCACTTGAGCAAAGGTGGGTGGCATAGCAATCCCATCCGTCCTTCTCACTTGGGAGACTGAGGGACCACCAAGCTGCTGGAAGCCAAGCTGGAAGGCACATCAGGAAGAACTGGTGAGCTCTGGAATGCTACAGGCACATCTGGGTGGATAAGGCACCAGCAAGGCCAAGATGTGTGCCCCTGAGTAAGGTCACCTGGCCAGACCCAGAACACTGGGCTGAGGTCCTCAGGGAACGGGACCTGAGCTTAGTGGTCTAAAAAAGACAAACAGAAAAGATGCAAAGCTGGAACTGAGACCCCATCATCTACAGAATGGGAGACGGGCAGAGATCAGTCCCAAGGGTCCAGAATCTTGTGCCCAGAATTATAATGTAGGAGAATCGGGAATCCTCTACCATCAAGGAAGAAACAGTCTTCCCCACCATGCCTCGTCCACCAGACAGTGTGAAGGAGACCTCTTGCTCCCCACCTGCCCCACGGCTGCGGAGACTCCCAAACCTTCTGTGGCCCCAGGGCGACCAGTGCAGCCAAGCAGGCAGGGGAGTTTTGGGACCTCAGCAACATGGAAACCTGCAACATAAGAACAAGGGTCACTGGCTGTCAAGGTGTCCCAGCAAAGCCCACCTCAGGCACAGACTGCTACTCTCTGTTGAAGGAAGGGAAAGTCATCCTCTGTGGAGCAGGGTAGTAGAGCTAGCCCAAGACCATGAAGAACATCAGAGGTTGTGACCTGGGATTCCCCAGAGAGAAAAAACAACAAAAACCCCTCACAATTTTTTTTGTTGTTTAGTTTCTTTAAAGGATAGGGTCGGGGTTGGGGATTTAGCTCAGTGGTAGAGCGCTTGCCTAGCAAGCGCAAGGCCCTGGGTTCGGTCCTCAGCTCTGGAAAAAAATAAAAATAAAAATAAATAAATAAAAATAAAGGATAGGGTCTTATTATGTGACTGGTGCTGGCCTGGAACTCACTATGTAGCCCAGGCTGGCCTTGAATTCATAATCCACTCTCTGTAACATTCAGCAGTCTAGGATTACATGCCTGTGTGAGCATACCCAACTCGAACTCCCGCAATCCTATTAGGGTTTTTTGTTTTTTGTTTTTTTTTTTTTTTTTGGTTTTTCGAGACAGGGTTTCTCTGTAGCTTTGGAGCCTGTCCTGGACTAGCTCTGTAGACCAGGCTAGCCTCAAACTCACAGAGATCTGCCTGCCTCTGCCTCCCGAGTGCTGAGATTACAGGCGTGCGCCACCACCGCCCGGCTGATACAGGCTGTTTTACAAGATGCAAACCGTTCTGGAGGCACGTGGTGGTGATGGTTGTACAACTGTGTGACTGTCCTTACTGCCACCAAACTGCCCTTAAAGCTGGCTACAAGGACAAATTTCAGGTCATGCATATTTTACCAATTTAGGAAAAAATATTCCTGATGCTGGGTCGTGAACCAAGGGCCTCCTATATACTGTTCATTATTCTACTACCAAGCCACACCCTTAGCCCCAGAAGAAAATTGCCATATCAAATATGTATTGACCCTTACTAAACATAGTATGGAAGAAGCTGGACTGTCAGGGTTCAAAGCCAGCCTCCTTTACTCATTACCAAGGAGACTTTGGGTATTGATCTCACAGTACTTATCCAGAGAACACATGCATTCAAGCAATATACCCACACAGTAGGGCTACAGTAAGTGCTACATAAAATTTATAGTCCACTCCAACCACTGCCTTCACAACAGCAAACAAACCCAACACCTCCACACCTAGGCTTGAAAACACTTGCAGGGGCTGGGTGCGGCTCCCTGACAGACGCACCTTCTACATGATAGGAGCACCGAGTTCTGTCTCTAACAGGCAGTATCCTCTATCCTTGTGTTTCCAGAGAAAGCTGAGCTTGTGAATAGACCTTTGAAGGAGTTAGTCAAAATCTGAATTTTCACAACGTCTCTGGTTATCACTGTCATTTTTTCTACTTGCTTTGAGTAAAAACACTTTCATTTTTGGAAAACGGGGCGGGGGGCACCATGCTTTCCGTTCACGGGCCTATGATACTTTGCAATTATCCAAAAATGTCTTACCTTAGAGGTGGCACCAGCTGTCCACCCCAGGTCCAGAGAGTTCTCATTTTGGTGGCAGAGCTCACCCCACCAGCTGCTCAGAGTCAATGCCAGGATCTCTTACAAATGACTGTCGTTTTGACTGGAAGACCACCTGGGTATCCTTAGCTTCATTTTTCCAACTATGTGAAAGAATATTCAACAGTTCTCAGGTCTCTGGCTGGTGAAGGGCATCCAGCTCTTTTGTCATTGGGTGGACCCCCAGTTAGAGAAACTCCCAGGGAGAGAGGAGCTTCCCAATCTTCAGTGGGTCAAACTGTGGGAATGACCTACGCAACACGGGCCAATCTTGAGGTCGGAATGGCTCAGGCCCAGTAGTAGTAATTCAGTAAACTAAATGACCATGTGTGGGCGTGTACCTGTGGGATTTCTCAGAGACCTTATACTAACATTGTGAATCTGCACGGGAAGACAGCACCATTGACAGACCCTTTTGCCTTCTCAGCCTTCTTCCCGAGGTAGCACCTGAATGGCTCCCTAGATAACCTACTGCTTTAGAGGGGAAAATGTGGTTCTTATGTGAAAATGGCGGTTCCCAAGATCGGGATCTGGGTCCCCAAAGGGGTGGGCATCACCTTAACAGTCACGGAGGACCCCTAATACAAACATATTTAAGGGTGAGGTGCAGCAGAAGCCGGTGATGACATCTGAGAGGCCAGGGAATTTAGTGCATTTGGCCTGGTCTGGATGAACCCCAAGGATAAACGCGGAGAGACTCGCGTTGTTTAGTAAGGTACAGCTAGCGGGCCTTTGCCATGCACCACTCCTGTGGCCGGCCCCACCCAAAGACTTGGATGATGTAGGGCTGGCTGCGCGGGGAGAAATCCAAACTACAACTAAAGACGTCGTTCATTCCGGCACCAGCTAAGGCCTGTCCCCAGCTCCACTTGCAGCTAGCTGCCTGGCTGCATTCTACACCACCCCAGGCTGGAAGAGGGGGCAGGAGGGGATGCTCTTTCGAGTGCAGGGCCGGAGGGAGGGGGCAGTGGCGCAGTCCAAAGACTGGTTCCAATTTGGGAGCCTCCCCCGGATCTACGCGGCGGCGCCTGTCCACGTCGAGCTCTCGACAAGGAATGGAGAAAGGGACTTCCAGGCTTCGCCTGGGGCAGCCCGTCTGAGTGTGTGCGTCAGCGCCTCGGATAGCTGCGCTGGTCCCTGGAAGCTGATATCTGGGCTAAGCTGCGGTGCAGCAGTCAGACTGGAACTGAACGTCGGAAATCCAGGGCGAGGGCAGTGAAAACACAGGCAGGGAGAGGGTGCAGGGACACACCGGCACGGGGCGGCGGCGGCAGGAAGGGCTCGGGAGGGATCCCCGCACCGATCTGGGCCGCAGGGGAGTGGGCGGCCTCACACCACCTCCTCCTTGCCCTGGTAGCGACGGCAGCAGCCGTAGAGCGCCGAGAGCAGGTAGAGGCCGAGGCAGAGGCCGCCGCAGACGGAGGCCGCCAGGAAGGCATGGTAGGCGCAAGGCAGCCGGTAGCTCTTGAGGTTGCAGTAGCTGTGGCGCTGCGTCTGGTCGATCATGATGCCCGTCGCGGCCCCATAGAGAGCGGCCGCCAGCAGGTCGTGCGCCACGTTGACCACGAGCCAGCGCGAGCCCAGCACGGGCACCAGCTCCTGCTTGCCCAGCAGCGTGATGAAGTAGAGCCCCAGGGTGAGCAGCCAGAAGAGCACCGACACGAAGAGCGCGAAGTGCACGGGGCCCTGATACTTGCTGGTAGCGATGGTGATCCAGAAGGCTGCTCCGGCCAGCAGCTGCAGCAGACGCAGCACGCCCAACGGGCCGCGCAGGAAGGCCCGCTGCAGGCGCAGGGATCCGCGGGCCGCGCGCGCCTGGGGCGGCGGCTGGCGCGGGGGCGGCGGGAGCATGGCCCCCGGACGCGGCGGCGGCGGCGGCGGCGCCCCGAGCAGCGGAATGGCTGCGCCTTGCTCGCGGGGGCGGCCCGCTCCGAGCCGGCTGCCCCCGCTGCTCCCACTGCGGCCTGCGCGATTCACTCTGCTCCGAGTCCTTCTCCTAGCTCCTGCTTCTCCTTGCCACCCTTCCTTCCCTTTCTCCTCCTCTTTTCTCTCTCTCTCTCTTTCCAGCCCTCCTACCCGCTCTTTGGCCGTCCCCCGTCGGTCTCCACCCCTGCTCGCGCCTCTCTGCTTCCTGCCGTCGCGCCCTTCATCCTGGCTCCCCCCGCCCCCCTTTCTCCATTCCTTCATCCTCCGGCCAGGGCTGAAGGCTCGCACCCCCTAGCCCATGGCAGGCCTTCTGCCCAGGCTGCCTGCGCTGCTGGGTCAAGTTTGCCACATCTGGAGACACCCCAGCTCGCCCTGCCTCCCGGGCATGGCTGGTCTTCCATGAAGGAAACTGGCTACAACAGCGTTCTCCCAGCCTGTGTCTGAACCCCCATGATTAACCCTCTCTCCAGTCATAGGAGAAGGGAGACATAAGTCTCTCCCATGGAAGCCTCCTGGCGTGCCTGGGCGCCACAAGTGAGCAGGAGGCCTGAGCTCACAGCTGCTCTCTCTGGGACACCCTCAGTACCCTTTACTTGGCCACCACAAACTTGGCCCTGTCCAAAGCTGGGCTCAGACTGTCTAGCCATGAAATTCTCTTGGTCAGAGTAAGGAACCATCACTCACTGGAGGCCTGGCTACCTCACCCACGGCTCACAGAGCACAGCAATGCCAAACACTTTTGGCCATTCCTTCCTGGTCATCTTTGTGTCATGCTTAGATTAAAAATATGCCACCTATTATGGCCAGGGCACAGGCCTGGGTCTAAGAGACAGCACGCCCTGTGTGCTTAACTGTTCATCCAGATGGCAAAGACTAATGGTGCCACGGTTTATTGGCATTACAGGGACCACGCTCTACGTGCATTCTCATGTGAGCCTCCAACAACATAAGAGACCAGAACAGTTATTTTCTTCATTTTCCTAAAGTCTAGAGGAGTTCAGACCAGGAAACCAATGATGGCTTCTACACACACACACACACACACACACACACACACACACACACACACACCACACCCCGGGAGCCAACCTTCATACTTCAGCCGCGTTCTGAAACAGACCTGGCTATTCTTAGCTCTTAGCAGTACTTTTCCTCACTGAGCACAGTATGGAGCTGTGTCTTGTCAGTGTGGCATATTGCGTAATCTGTGCCCAGACAACTTCCAATTTCTTGTTTTTTCCACTTCCTTCCCCCACCCATGCCCAAACTCGGGCACTTCTTGCAAGTTTCCCGCATAGACTCAGAATGTCCTTCATTTTCCAAACCCTCCTGAGCTGGTAGACAATGTCCAGTTTAAGCACTACTGGCTTTGGGTCCAGCTTCCCATGCTGATAATTGCTTGTCTAGGCCTCGCTTTGAACCATTCCTCTGCAGTGGTTCTTGAGTCTACTATGTCATAAACCACGGTCTAGCCGGGCTTCTCCATCTTTGCTGGGCCTGCCATATAGGAGACCCTCAGTACATACAAATGGAGTTGCTTGCCAAGTGGCTACAGGAACAGTACTGGACCTAAGCAAGCCACATTTGTCTTTGGGACAATGTCTGCCTCAGACCTCCAGCTGATTCTACACTGTAGAGCTCCCCCTTCATATCCTGGTTCTTAACTCAGTGTCCCCCGGCCTGACACAACAGGTCCCTTTTTCAGCGGCCTGGCTCTACTTTGAAGAAAAGAGCTTTGGCCTATCAGTGCCACCCCAGCCTGTATACACTACTCAGGAAAGCCCCCAATGCATGTGAAAATGCTTAAATTGTGGTATATAACAGCCACACCTACATAAGACAGCATAGCCCTGGAGTCAGCCTGCCATTGCCTTAGTACTCTGTAGCTGGGCATGGAGGAGGGGCTGCCAACCCTCTGCATCTGATTACTTCATCTGTAAAATTGTTCGGGCAGCAGGCAGACAGAGTGCTTATTAAACATTGAGCTCCATTTTAGAGGCCAGGAACACATGATATATGTGGTTTGGGGAACAGAATGTTTACTGTGTTCGGCCCTGTGGCAAGAAGTTGTATTTACTGTTCCAGTTGATGGTTAGTTACCAACACTGTCGAGTACTTGTTCTTAGCGCTGATCCACTCACTGATAGGGAGCAGGCTCAGAAGGTTGAAATCTAACCACGTTCCAGGAGCTGCTGGAGACTCAGGAGGACCCGGATGGAGCTGACTCCACCTCTACAATCCAGATATTTTTACGTATTATCTGTGTTTTGTTTTCTATTCTTGCAGGGACCCAGAAAAGTGATTTGCCCAAAGAAACAGTCTGTGTCACGCTGGAATCCAAACCTGCACGTTCTGATCCTAACTCAGAAGCACCTGGAGGTATGTACTCAGTGCCCTTGACTGGGCTTGAGACCCTGACCAGCTTCTAGCTGCTGAATCCGGCTGCTGGACTGAAGAGGGCATTTCTGTGAGCAGGGAGACAACAGGAGGAAGGGAAGAGAATGCTTCCATCTTAAAAAGGCATCCGGAGATGTGTGGGTTAGGGCGCCACCTGGTGGTCATAAACTTTCAGCTTCCGTAGTCTCAACTCGGCTCCTTACATGGAAGAGTCCTTCAATAGCTTTGGGATGATATTTTTAGCCTCTGGAATCTTGAAAATATTCCAAGAGGCAGTGGAGCAGACTCTCTGGAAAAGTGTAGCCACAGATTAAAAAAAAAAAAAGCTTTGATTCTGTCCAATGGATCTAGTCTAAGCACCTGCCGTATGCAAACATGTGGTCGTGAAAGCGGGAAGGAAGAGGGCTCACTCCTGTTCTCAAGTGTTGGCACTCTGCTGGTTGCTAAGGGACAGCTGTGAACACAAAAGACAAGTCAAAGGGTCATAAGTAAACTATGGAAGAGAAGGAGGGAGTATTGTGAAGGGAAGTCTGGGAATTTTCAGTCACAGATGTCATGGAGGGTGAGTAGTAGCCACACAAGAAGGAAGGAAAGACAGACCTTGGGAGTGGCTATCTTCAGGGGCCCTGAGCTTGCTGGGTGCCCCCCCCACACACACACTGGGTATACCTAGAATACAAGACCATGACTGCTCTTTCCCCAGTGACCCCTCATGGTTGTGTGTGCAGCCTGCAATTTCAAGGGATAAGACAATATGTTCCTCCAAAGCAGAGTTGTTTATAGTTAGGGGATTCTTGAGTTCGTTAATCTAACAAGGGATCCCCAGGCCTTTCTTATCCCAAGCAGCCTGAACTCTGGATAGAGGAGGGGCTAGGGACAACATCCTGGGCCTGGACAAGTGGTGAAGGAATTTGAACGGCAGTCTCAGCCTAGCCCCTGCTCAGCCCGTGGGATGTTAGCTAGCCAGACTAGGACCCACAAGGTCCCCAGAGTCTCACTGTTGCCCCTTAGACCATGCCATCAAAAAGAGACCCACAGGTGTTGATGGAGCCTCCACCTGGACCTCTGATGGGGACATGCGTGCTGACCTCAGCTGGGAATTACCCGGCCAAGGGGCTCAGCGGGGAGTGGGAGTAGCCGCCGAGGAAGATCTAACAGCCACAGGTACCAGGCTGTGCTGGCTGCTTTCCTCCTCTACCTGGTTCGCCTCCCACAATAGTTCTGAGAGAGGCACTTTAGAAACCACCCTCAGTTCAAAACGGGGAAACTGAGGCACGGGAGTGTTTCACAAATAATCCAATTACCTAGCGTGCTACAACTCAAGAGGAGGGAACCTAACTCACACATTTGGTCTCCAGATGTGGCTTTCATTACTGTGTGTAACTGGGACTTCAGCTTTAGTCTGGGAAAAGATGAAACTCTTTCCCTGTGTGGTGAGAAAGAGAAAGGTCCAAATGCCTGGAGATGGGTCAATGAGGAGGAGCCAGGCAGGACCCTGAGAGGAGGGGTGGGTATACAGACCCATCTTGAGATCCACACTTGGGGAGCCCGACTCTGCCTGCTGTGTGTTTCTCCAGCTGTGGGACCTCAGGATGGGGACATCCCTTGATCCCACTTTACCCTTTAATGCAATGGACCTGGAGGGCAAGGCTGGAATTCGACGGTGCTCTGCATCCCCTAAAACCTGTGAGACGGACCATTTCATTGTCTCCATGTGACAAGAGGCAAGAAGACTCTGAGAAGTTGAGCTATAAGTAGTAAGCAAAGGACTCAACTTCCATCTATGGACACTAGGAAACACTACAGCTGTCATCAGCCTCCGAATCCACTTGAACCATGAACTTCCCAGGAAGGCCAGCCCCACAGGAAACTCGTCACAAGACATACATACTCTGACCACTCAGCAAAAACCAAACATGGCCTCCTTCCTATGACCACTTGGGTCCCCAGCCTCAGGTCACCACTGGAGTCTCTTAAAGATGTGGTAAAGTATGGAAAGACACCACCCTGGCCTCCACTCTGTCCCCAGGAAACCTCCCCCAACCTACTCAAGTGGATTAAAACACTGCTGCCATGTCCCCAAAGACGTCCAAGTCATATAAGCCGCCAGAGAGACACAGCCTGACCCAAGTAGCTGAATAACCGGCACAGAACAAGTAAGACTACAGGTTTTGGGGAGCTGAGTCCTTCACCCTTATCTGCCTCCGCCCCTGCTGATGTAGTGACCCTACACAGGAAAGCTCTATAAGACTCAACACTGACCTCTTGTGCCCCATTTCTGACCCACGGTGGTACCCCCAGAATCATCTTCCTGTGATTTGGGTTAGTAGCTGCTCCCATTGGAGTTCATGCTTAGGTAGCCAAGGAACACACAACACAAGTATGTGGGGAGCAGAAATTCTGGGAAGTCAGAGGATGCTGGAGTAGAGAGAGGAACCTTGCACCAGGGGTTCTCCAGAGAAACACTCAAGACAATGGAGAGAGGGGAAGGGAGGAGAGAGAAGAGAGAAAGAGAGAGGGAGAGGAAAAGGGATGGGGGGAGAGTGTGTGTGAGGGGCAGGAGGAGGAGGGAGGAAGAAAGTGATCACAAGGGATCAGCTCACAAAATTCCAGAGGCTGACAAGCCCCAAATCTGCAGTTGGCTGGCTGGAGGCCAGTTGGAAGGGCGTCAGCATCCCATTACTCCTAGGAGGATCAGGCTTTCTGTGCTGGTCAGACTTGCAACTGATTGGGAGGTTCACCCACACTGGGAGGTGGGGGTGCATCTGCTCACTCACTCTACCAGTTCACATATTCACCTCATCTACATCTTCACAGACACATCCAGTGTCTTAGTCCATTTGCTGTTACTGCAACAGAACGCTTAGAAGTGGATAGTTTATAAAGAAAAGCTGATCTTGGCTCATGGTTCTGAAAGCTAGGAAGTCCGTGTTTGAACAGCCACATCTGGTGAGGGCTACAGCTGCTTCATCCCATAGTGGAAAAGCAGAAAGGTAAGTGGATGCACGCAAAGGAGGCAGTCTTACTTTATAACCTTATTTATAACTCTCATAGTGACTAGTTCAGTCCTGTGAGACACCTTGAATGGCAATAAGTCCACTTTATAACCTAGTCACATGGTAGGATACCACCTCTCAACACAGCCACCGCAGCTGTGAGTGGAAATTACGGCAATATTGTCAAAGGAGATGATGTTATTCAAACCATAACGCCCAGAATAATGTTGAGCCAAATATCCAGGCACCGTATGGCCTGGTCAAGTTGACACATACAATTCGCCTTCACAAACTGATATGCAGAGACCAGAGATGATGAGAGGCTGACAACAGCTTCCTGTGGCTTGCTCCAGGTCACAGCTGGACCTCATTACTGTGAACACACATGGCTCGCAGGAACCTCCCTCCCCATTCCTTTGCCTGAACTAACTTACATGTGCCTTGCAGCGGCCTGTGTTCAAACAAGGAGGTCTGGGGCCAGACTGACAGGGGCTGAATCCTAGTCCAACTTTGTGGGAGGTGTTTCTTTTTAGTATTTGTTGTTTGAGACAGGGTCTCATTATGTAGTCCAGGTTGGCTTCAACTTGAAAGCCTCCTGTGTTAGTTTCTCAAGTGTTCAGATTACAGATGTGTGGTACTGCACCCGGCTCTCTGTTTATTCGTTGGTTTAGTTCGATACACTGTGTTTGATCTTCCTCCAGACCTAGGTTCCCTTCCTATGAATCTGAGCAAACTTGTGATCTGATTGTAACTAATGAGATGGCCACAGCAACACTTCTAGATATTTTTTAAAGGCTACACAGCTTTCTCCTTGTTTTCTAGAACTCACCCTGAGCCACCATAGAAGTCTGGCTACTTGGAGGCCACCATACTCCAGGTCACAACAAGGAGCCAGTAAGAAACTGCAGCTGCTCCTGGTTTCCCAGCCCAGGCTCACAGAATACTATTGCTTAAGACTGAATCGTAGCGTAGCTTCCAACAACTTATGTGTAAATAAAATACGAAGAAAGAAAAAAAGTTGGGCTGGAGAGATGGCTCAGAGGTTAAGAGCACTGCTTGCTCTTCCAAAGGTCCTGAGTTCAATTCCCAGCAACCACATGGTGGCTCACAACCATCTGTAATGAGATCTGGTGCCCTCTTCTGGCCTTCGGGGATGTGTGCAGACAGAACACTGTATACATAATAAATTAATTAATTAATTTTTTAAAAAAAGAAAAAAGTTTAGCTGGGTGGTGGTGGCACATGCCTTTAATCACAGCACTCAGGAGGCAGAGCCAGGTGAGTCTCTGTGAGTTTGAAGTTAGGTTGGTCTACATAGCAAGTTCCAAGCTAACCAAGACGACACAGCCAGACCCTGGAAAGGGAGGGAGAGAGGAAGCGAGGAAGTGAGGAAGTGAGGGAAGCAGAGAGAGAAACAGAGAGAGGGAGAGGGAGAGAGAGAGAGAGAGAGAGAGAGAGAGAGAGAGAGAGAGAGAGAGAGAGATGGATTTTTCTGTCCCTCCTGGCAGCTCCCAAATCACTACAGGAAGAGGAAGACTTTTTATTAATTATGAAAGCTCGGCGGATAGCTTAGGCTTGTTACTAACTAGTTCTTACAACTTAACCCACATTTTTATATATTAATCTACATTCCACCACGTGGCTTTTACCTCTATCCCATTTTGTGTGTCCAACTCCTTCTGTGGCTGTCTGGCTTCTCCACCCTTATTCTTCCCAGCATTCTCTCTGCCCCAAAAATCTTGTCTAGCTATTGGCCATTTAGCTTTTTATTAAATAAGTCACAGTGACATGTCTTCACACAGTGTATTTTCCACATTTCCCCCTTCTTGTCTAAATAATAAGGAAAGGTTTTAAATCTAACATAATAAAACTATAAACAATAAGAAAAATTATCAGGTAAGAATTACATTTACAATGCCCAATTCATTTGTATTTGGCATATTTGGAGAAAATACTCCATTATTTAGTCTGTCTTGGTGAGTTCAAAGCTCTGTACCTAATTTACCTATGATGATATTTTATGTGTGCTGAAATGTGGTGATACTTTATTTGTGCTTTAATAAAGTTTGCCTGGAGATCAGAGGGAATAGCAAGCCATTTTAAGTAAACAAAGAAGTCAGGCAGTGGTAGCACATACCCTTAATCCTATCACTTAGCAGGCAGGGTCTCTGTGTGTTCAAGGCCATAGGAGGGAACAGAGCCAAGTGTGGCGACACTCGCCTTTAATCCCAGTACCAACCATAGAGATCTGGAGGTCTGTACAGACAAACAGTGACAAGGAAGTGAGATAACTGGGCTAAGATAGCCAATGAGAGGGCAGATCAGCAAGGCAATAAAGGCATGGGTAAGACAGGAAGTAGTTGCATTTGGAAGCTGCAGAGTTGGTGAGGTAAGGTTGGCTGGTGGCTTTCCCTATTTCCCTGATCTCTCTAAGGCTTTCACCCCTATATTTGGCTCCGTGTTTTTTATTTAATAAGACCATTTAGAAATTCATCTACATTTATCTTCTACCATAACTAAGGAAAAACTATAACTACCTAGTCTTCAACTCCATCAAAGACCCAAGAAGGACATAATATTACTTGAGTAAGCAAGAAGCGCAGAGTAAACAACTTCTAAAACTAGAAATGACAGTCACTTGTTTCCTCTGTAATGTTGGGGCATCCCTCTTCAAACTACAGGTATCTAAAGTATCTGAGAGATTTTTCTGTGAAGCAGGAATTATGAAGGACTGTCCCACCTGGTCTTGGCAAAGTTCGGCTTTCCTTCTTGTCCTGCTTGTCCAGTTTGGACAGCAACTGTCAGCAGTTGAGGCAAAGGGCAGTTTCTTGGCCAGTGGCTAAATTTTGCCACAAAGAAAGAAAACTCCATAGGGAGTTCTTTGATGCCCATCATCTTCTCTGAAGGAGATTGGTACTGCCAGGAGCAGACATGTCTCATTGTCATAAAAAGCCTTATATTATTAAAACATATTAAATGTCAAATCTGTAGGTCTTTGAAGTGTTTGAAGACCATCTATCTATCTAAAATATATCTCTGTATGACCTTGAAAACATACCTAACATGACTATAAGTTTGATAGTTATAGATGACTATTAACCTGGATTTATTATCCTAAATAGCTTCCCAAGATTAAAACTTTACATAACCTTTTTAAGTGACCTGCACAGACACAATACCTTAAACAGGAATAGAAACATATGTAAAGCATAACAAAAAATAACCTTAAATTTGTATCAGTATACAAAAATCCATACCATTGTAAAATATTTGAGACTAGTGGTTGTTTAAAAATAGACTCAAGACCGGGCAGTGGTGGCGCATGCTTTTAATCCCAGCACTCGGGAGGCAGAGGCAAGCGGATCTCTGTGAGTTCGAGGCCAACCTGGGCTACAGAGTGAGTTCCAGGAAAGGTGCAAAGCTACACAGAGAAACCCTGTCTTGAAAAACTAAAAAAAAAAAAAAAAAAAAAAAAAAAAAAAAATTAGACTCAGTAATCCACCCTTTTATCTCATCATTTCTATACTATATCCCCCTTTTTTCCTCCAAAAAGAGATCCTTGAATCTAGCTCCTTTATTTAGCTTTTTTCCTGACCATGACCAATAACAACTTGTAACCAACCCCACTAAATGATGACAAACATCTATAACTCATCGAATAACTAAAAGCCAACCCACCCCACCTCTTGGGAATGGGGGCATTATGTTCTCTAGACTACTTCCTGTTGCCTGGGGGCAGGGTGCTGGCATCTTTAGGGGACCCTGAGAAAATTAGGACAATGGTCAAGTCCTGGGAGAATTGCAGTATTATTTGTTGTCCAGTCTCTGTACAATGGGAAAGTGCAAGGCTTATCTGAAGTCCTGACTGGAGTAGTCTATGAGGCTGGACCATCTCAACCAGCAGCCTTGAAGGTGTTCTGGATGCAGAACTCTGAGAAAACTACAACAGAGGCATTCTGAGAAGCTGGATCACCTGGGTCACCAGTTTTCATTGGTATCTGGTCCCCTTGCTCTGAAAACACATAAACTTTCAAAGGTGACATACAGATCTGCATTAGCACAAGTATGGAATGTGCTATGTACACAAGTCAGTTAAAGATGATTTTTTGTTTTATGTTTGAGCAGGTAAAAGGCATCTGTCAACTTTATAAGTCTATTTGGACTGTATAATCAAATTATAATATAAATCTCTATCCATGCCATATAAAAGGATGGCATGTAATAATCAGTCATGAGGACTCTGTAGCCAACAAGATTTATCATGTCTCATCTCATCTCAGAGCTGTCAAAGGATCAACTTACATGTTACCTGTCCTATAGTCTTTTTTGGCTTCCTCCCCATTTTCTGTAGCCAAGTGTGATGGCTATTCCTGGTTGTCAACTTGACTATATCTGGAATGAACTATAATCCAGATATGGAGGGCACACTTGTTATCCAGATCTTGAGGCTGGATGACACACTTTTAATCTGAGCCACACCTTCTGTTGGAATACTATGTAAGGACAATGGAAGAAGGAAGGATGTTCTTCACCTGTTTGCCCTCACGTCTGTCAGCACATTTATTTCCTTCTTTGAGATCCCAGCAGACCAGCTGAGACACACAGCCTAGTGGGACTGAGCAGCTACTAGATTCTTGGACTTTCCATTCATAACTAGCCATTGTTGGACTGCAGCCTATAAGTCATTCCAATAAATCCCCCCATATATATATGGAAAGAGGGAAAGAGAGAGATTCATTCTGTAAGTTCTGTGACTCTAAAGAACCCTGACTAATATACCAAAATACTCAGGAGGTCTCTCCCAGTCAAATCTGATCTCTATTAATCTGGAAGGAATCTACAGCCTTTCATTATCTGTGGAAACAAAAGCATAACCTCTCCCCCAACATAACACATTGTCCAACTTCCATTCTAAAGTTAAGACATTTTTTTAAAATATGTAGGTTGGTTTAATTTACCAGTTTCCATAATCTAGTGTCTCTCAGCAGCTATTTTTTTGTACAGTAGCATTAAAAAAATTTAAAGTTAACAAGACACCATATAGGATCCAGATTCCCTGTGTATTTTCCATCCTTACATGGCTTATTTAATTTTTTTTATTACTTTACTCTCTCTTTAAATACTTTACTATTATTTTTAAACTATTATTTTTTCTATGACTATCTGTACCCATTTTTTTCTTAAACCTATGCACATTGTTAAATGCACTGTAACCTGTTTAGAGGTTTTTTTCTGTCTGAACCTGCTTTACTGCATATCTGTAACCTTTTCTGTCTGCATGAGAAAATCTTAAACTTGCTACACAGCTTAGCTCATGGCACACTGGTAGCTCAAGCACACAGACAGCTGCAGGAAGATGTGTCTCTAAACTGTTGCCAGCATGAGAAACATGAGGCTAGGAAGCTGCATTTGGCTCCATTTTTGTGTGTTTAGAACTTTTTTAAAAGCCTTCTCAGGTCTTACATGGATATATGTGACTGTACATTGGGCACCATTTGTAGGTGGATTTTTCTGTCCCTCCTGCCAGCTCCCAAATAACCATATGGAGACTTCTTATTAATTATAAAAGGTTAGCTGATAGCTTAGGCTTGTTACTAACTAGTTCTTACAACTTCAATTAAACCATATTTTTACTAATCTACATTCTACCACATGGCTTTTACCTCTATCCCACTTTGTGTGTCCAACTCATTCTGCACCTGTCTGGCTTCTCCGCCCTTCTTCCCAGCATTCTCTCTGCCCCAAAAATCCTGCCTAGCTATTGGCCATTTAGCTTTTTATTAAATAAGTCACAGTGACATGTCTTCACACAGTGTAAAGGAATATTCCACAACAGAGAAAGAGAGTGTGTGTGTTAATGCTACATTCTAGCTATGCCCTACCTACTCATTGGCTGACTTCCTACCTTCCAGGTGACAGCATCAGGATGGGAGGCCTTTGGGGGATAATTAGTTCATGATAGCAAGCACTTAATGAATAGGATGAACGTTCTCATAAAAGAGACTCCTGAGACCTGCTTCATGTAAGGAGGACACAGCAAGATTTGGTGCCATCTATGAAGCAGGAAGCAAGCTCTCTCAGATAAGAAACTGACTGACTTAGAAGCCACAGTCTGTGATGTTTTATTGTAGCAACCCAACCAGACCAAGACTCTCAGCATGTA